TCTCAAGTAATTAAAAAAACTTTAGAAAAACTCCATCTCAACTTGTTTATGGATGTAGGAAGTTAGCACCCACCCTCTCCGAGAAAAATGAAATATTTTAGGATATATTAAAAAGGCAGAATATTTCCCCTAAAAGAGGAGTAGAAACTCAGAGAGGCAGAAACTGAACCCCCCTCCACCTTTGCTAATGGGCCATTAAGGTCTGGGCCAGAGTATTCTACATAACAAAAAGATCTACTCCAGGTAGAACCATAATAGGAATTACCCAAAGCCCTTTTATTACATCATCATCCAGCAAGGCTCAACCAAGCCTGGGACTAGGGACAGCCTACAGAGTTGTCCCTGCATGGCCCCATGGGAGTTTGACAACCAATCAGAATACAAGCTCAAATTCAAATCCCAACAGAGGGCATAAAACCCAGGGACTCTCAGCAGCTCTTTCCTTTTTCCTTCACCCAGCCATGTGGTCCTGTCCACCATTACACCTTCTTTCCAAGCAACTCCCATGATTCCAGTGTCTTTTTTCCCCACTTGGAACTGAACCCAGAAGGATATTTCTTCCAACATGGAGGACTAATAATGTTGAAGCTAATCTCATGTTTAGGGGAAGGGTGCTCTCTGACTCTGATTACGAGAAACCTTCAGTTGTGGTTTGAGTTATTTCATGACAATGGGAAATTATGAGCAATTTTTCCTATGACATTTTTATTGAGCAGGTCATTTCTAAGAAACATGTCTGTAGAGTTGCTTAAATAAAATTTACATCCTTATAGATTTATACAATAATTACTGATCTTGTATTTAAAATTCTATACTGTACCAGTGAGATATTGTGATCTTGAATCTTATCAACACACATCCATCTTTAAAACATGATAATGTGATTTGGTGACACCAGAACACCAGAACAGCCAACAGGTGAACAGCCAACAGGTGACACCAGAACAGCCAATTTAAGTCTACCTCAGAAAATCAATCAAATCAATCAAACACTTCTCAGTACTTCCAGAAATATCTAGTAGCAGGCATTGGTAGCACTCCTCTTTGGTACAACATCTCTTGTGTAACAGTTTTCCACACTGAAAGTCAGGAGCCTACTGATTTAGATGGGATTGTGGCACTGCAAATTATTTCTATAGATCTTTGAATGGGATATCTTATTTTCTGATATTTTTAAATGAAGGAGACTATACTTTAAGAAAAGAAAAAGCATGGAACTAGAAAACCAGACCTTGATGATAGTCTGTTTATAATCCAGATTTTGGAGCATGGGTATGAGAAGAGATCTCTTAGTGGAATATTTTGCAAGAATAAGTCCCAGTAGAAATGATATTTATACTGAAGAAATTGGAAGGAGATGGAGATGTCCAACCACAAATGCCAAAACTCAAATTTTTTATAAGTAAATCAATTGTAATTTCACATAATTTATCTTACTTTACAGAGAACAGTTGAAGGGCTGTTAATGGACAAATCTTTATTTGAAGGCTGTAGAATCTAAAGTCAGATTAAAGATTAAAAACACATATACACACAATGGAGACAAGGACCTTGAAGCAGTCCACCAACAAGTAATCTCTGGAGGACAAACAGAGCAGGTGACCAAAAACTTGCCAAATTTTAGTTTTTCCCATCATGGTAAAATATTACATTATTGTATTTCTATCTAAATTACAGCCTTTATTTCTAAAATTACAAGAAAATTATTATATACATATAAACAACATAATGTTACACTTTTGACATTTTAAAGTTTCCTAAGTTTTTGGCCATAATTAAATATACCTTCTTGGATGATTTCAAGCTAAATCAAAACAGTGTAATTACCAGCAGGGGCCTCAAACAGGTGAGTGGAAAGAATGGAAATAACCTCACATTTAAACAATAAATGTATCCCAATCTATCCTTAGATTGCACTATTAGAAAATTCCCAGTGCACTGCTTTTCCAAATGCCTGAATTCTGAAAGACAAGCAGGTGTGAAAAAGCCAGGAAACAAACAAGGCGGGGAAAGAGAGAGAGAGAGAGAGGGGGGGGGAGGGAGAGGGAGGGAGGGAG